TAAAAAAATATATGCTCATAATGTAAAATGACATACCACGGTGATCTAGAAAATTCAATTGTATTTGAAGTCGAAAACTTTGGCCAACAATGTTTGAAAAATTTTTTGATTTTTTCCTCATCCGCAATTTCTTTATCATCATTGTTGTACCTCAGTTGGGAACCTGTCTCAGTTCTGGACTGAGACAACTGAGTTCTGGACTGAGTGACTGGGTTTTGAACTGAGACAGTCCTAAACATCATCAACGTCTATCTTTGAACCTTTATCGGCAGTGTTTAAATATCCAACTCCGTCGGCGTATTCTCGCGATTTCTTGTGCTTATCTCCCCAAACTCGTAGCATCGATGAAATATCCATAATCAGGCTTGAAGACAGGGATCCTGACGCATTCGCTGGCTATATAAATGCCAGCGCGAAAACCTTCTTGTTTTGTCCCACCTCGGCAGGTCTCTCCACTGCTGATAATCTTCGAGACGCCTCGAATAGTCCCGGCGCCAAATCATTTAAATTCTAACGTAGCCAAATTTAATATTAAGAGTGGGGTTCTTGGTCCCAACGAAAATGCCATATACTAAAAAATTATGCAGATACTGTAACTAAAAAACTCTTATTTGTGTAGTAAAAAATGTTCGTACTTACAAAGTTGGCAGTCTTGCGCAAAATTCGTAGATTGTTTATCGGCAAATAATCAAAGAAAGACTGTCTTCGATCATTCATACCTCTTCGTTTCTAATTCTTCTTAAGAATTCTGTCTTCAACTCTGCCTGCACGACAGGCAAGTTTTTTTCAATATTAATCTGTTTGAAGTAACCATGTTTCGTTTGTACTTCAAAAATGGTAAAACCATCAAATAGTCATCTTTGTCTGAACATTGTAGATTATTGATCTTAGTGCCAATCACTCTCTGATAAATTTTGGTTGAAAAACTCTGTTAAAAGTTATGAACGTTTGACGGAATCAAATCTTCAATCCTGTAGAGTTTATTATGGTATTGACAGATTAGCTTCATATTCTCAGAGCATTGAAATTCAGCGCCAAACAGATCTTGTAGGGATATTTCATTTGGGTCTTATAGAAATAAATAAATACTATCAAATATATTGTACATTTACAAGAAGAAGAATACTAATACATGTACCTACCACTACCATTTGAGCATCTTCTATTTCACGTTCCATTTGGATGTTTTTCAAAATGAGGCTTTTGGTAATGGGTCTAGTGAAGAGAACAAGATACAAGCAAAGGTAAGCAATTAAAAGCAAGAGTGAGCTGTGCAGCAATGAGAAAAGCAGGGCCACCATGCCAGGCAATAACATACACATTGGATAACATTACATGGTTGCAAACAATAAGATTGTGTATGGAATATTTAATAAAATAAAATGCATTATTAAGCCTACTCTACTACTACTCTACCCTGTACACACTACTCTATGTCCCCAATGCCCGAGTCACAAACTCATACCTTCAAGAGAGCCTTCATATACTAACAATATGTAGGTCCTGAAACATCAGAGTCCCCATACTGTTTTGCTTCTTGCAAAGTCTTATATGATTACCACTGTCAGAGCCCCCTGTCCTTGATTGTTCTGTCGCGGTACTGCCCAGTTGAGTTTTCTTCCTTGCCTGGTTATCTTCCAATACTTCCATGTTTGTTAAAAATGAGTTGTTTGTTCGGTGAGCTTGACTGCTCTAAGTTGAGGCAAACTGTGCCTATTTATAACTTTGGTGTCGCTTCAGATGGTTCTAATATTTTGGTCTTGTATTATGCATTGACGTCATAAAACTGTCATTATTTTCCAGACACTTCCTTGACTGGTACAATATGCTATATTTAGCATCAATACTCAGATAAACCAACCAGTCAATGTAAAGCAGTAACAATTACGCAGCTATTTAGAAAATAAAGTTCCCGCTTTTTCGATGCAGACTATAAATAATACTACGATATATGTACCAAAATGACAACAATAATGTGTAAACTCTGCAGAACGATTACACTATGAGGAGGTTTTTATTCGTTATTGTTGCAACTTTGATAATAATAACTATTTTCGGCAATCATATTCTAAATCAAGCCATGCATGGTTTAAGAAAAATTAGTTTGGCGTAATGAATTCCGGTTTAGTTTGAAAACGATGACGAAACTCTAATTAAATTTTTGTATAGTTGTACCATTTTAAGAATATTTATGTCGCGATACAGATTTATAAGTACGCTATTGTGATTGATTGCGACGATATAATTGGTTGACGTTTTCGTCTATAAATAACTGACGGTCACAATGTCATCAATACACTGCCGAATTACATTTCTTGAAACACAATGTATCATCGCTGTCTATTAATAGTTTTGATTTGTGTCTTTTATTAGACATGACTAATAAGAAGGTACACCTCTACAATAGTCTTGATTAAAACATCAGACAGGGAATCACACAATACATTGTCATTATACATTTTATTCAACTCCTTCATACATACATAGCAGTATTACACATGGTCATAACTCCACCTGAGACAAAACCACGGCCATTATATAAACAGAACATGTATATATTACTATGATGCACCATATGTTCCACTAGTTGCGGGTGACATATATCGATATACTTTGATTAGTGACGTTTAAACTACGATTTTATCCCCTAATAACTCCTCTCGACCTGTCTTCAAATTTTCAGCCCAATGTAGAGACTTTTTTGTTTATTGACACGCCTTACAAGGTTTTTAACTGCCATAAAACGCTCTACGTTGCGTTGTACTTTTTGTAATGCTGTATATATTCCAAATGTTTGCTCCGCAAAAAAAATAACGTCACCGTTTGTGTTATATCGATATAAGCGCAATTCTCAATAAAGAATCTGTTTGCGACATAATATTTCAAAGCTGAAGACGTCGTACATACGGTCACGTTATTGTAATTGTATTGTAGTCCAGTCTGTCTCGTTCGCGTAATGTGACTGTACCGTCATTCGTTGATTCGGCCGTGCTGCTCAGGCGTGGTGACCGGCGTAGTTGATGTAGATGCGAGTTATAACATAAGTAATCCAAATTAGTATTAACAGGGATTTGCGGATAAGCAGAATATCCCTGTAAGCCGAAGCTTGTAGTACGACTTTGAATTTGACATGTATAAATTGCTCCTCATCTTACAGATTGAATGTGCATCGGAGGAAATATTATTGCGCATAAACGTCTAGGCGAATAAGTATTGTTGGTTAAAAACTTGACTTTTAAATCAATATTTTTAACTCACAGCTTTTGCATGCAACGTTTATTTGCTAAGATTACTCGAAAGATTAATACTCATGTAAGAGAAGGCTCTTAATATTTATGTCTTAGATTATTAACAGCACAAGCATTAAGTGGGGTATTCTCTAGCCAATCTAAATTATCGTACAAAAATATAATGGTTGAAGGTCTAAAACTTTGACTGTGAAGGGGAGAGCGCTGGTACACTTGCTGAAGTTTGTCCAAATGTTTAAGTTGTGAAGATTTTCAAAATTATTATACTCAATATTACATACATATGACTGCTTGCTACAATTCACAAACAAGTCCTCTAACGATGACACGGGTTATCAAACGCTATTCGGAAAGACGATTGGTGAAAGAGCTTAAATACATGTCATACATTTTCTATTACGCGTGAATCGTTTCGCAACATCTCCCCCTCCAAAGCGCAAATACGGCAAATAATGCTTTACCGCTCCACACATACAATTGTCGACCCACAAAAACTTCAAGCACACATATACTCCATTGCGCATGTATTTTCACGTCTCCTCATCCAAAACGCAAATAGCGATAGAACAGGCCGTCACTCCATATTACGCATGTACCACTGTCACTAACCAATTTTCAACACTCAATACAACAAAAAAGGCTCCGTTTTTTACATTACCATCTATTATATGCGTAAATAAATTCTTACCAACTGACTATTGCATTCTAATCGGTTCATTAGGCGACTACTCCTCTTTGTCTCTGCTGGGGAAAGGACGCGGATTTGGATTGGAGGTGGCGCTAGTCGCCCTCTACTCATCATGAATCCTGTTGAGTGGATTACGGGGGATGCCCGGAACACTTTCAGACCTCCCTTTTTTGGCTCCTCTTTTATTTTTTTTACACAGCTTTAGATGACGGGAAGAAGGTTTGGGGTAGTACATGGTAAGTATTATATTGTTTTACGTATAACTAATTCTATTTTCTTTTTTCTCTCCTTAATGAATTTGCTAGGTGATCGGATCCAATGGGGGGGGGGGCTGATTCATTTGTTAACATAGATCATGCCACCATAACTATTTTTCGTTCATCGTTTTGGAGTTTGTGATTGGTAATTCAGCTGTTTTAGCATTACAGATGTTATTAAAAAGTAGCATGCGTTCACTGTTACTTTCCATGATCAAGTTTCATCGTAGTAATGCACAATATTTATTGAACTTAAGGCTGTTAAAAGACCAGTCTATAACCTCAGGCATATTACAGTATCTTAGCGAACGGGCGTGTTGTCCTATTGAAACCTAGTATACTAATTGAAACCGCCACTACGTCATCATGTCTAAACAATCGGAACTTGTGTAACTTTGGGTATTACGAGTCAACATTAGCATGGCCAACTCACTTCGTTCGAATTTTGATGGCAAACCTTATAGCCATTCGACGGAAATACGACGAACTAACACTTCAATGGCAAGAGACATTGTATCAACCCGTGGACTGTGAAGTCTTGAGGGAGTCTGTCTGTATGGAGTTTCTCCCAGTTATTATACACTAGCTGATCGTTTCAAAGAGGATTCTCATACCAGTTTTCCAACAGGCAAAATTCATACAACCTCAACATTATAATGAGGTCATTGAAGAAAGGAATGTTGATAATCTTTGCGGCTATCCTATATGCTCTAAATCGCGTCAGGTAGGTTTGCTGTTAGCTATTCAGTGATCAGGAAAAGAGAGACTTGTCGCCTTTATCTGATTACTTAAAAATCAATTAGCAAATAGATAGCAACTACAGAATCTCGTTGAGGGCTCGTGAAGTATACGATATCTCAGAGCTCAAACACTTTTGTTCACGCACATGTTACGTGGCGTCAAAGTTTTTTTTGTCTCAATTATCGCCTGAGCCTATTTATCTTAGAAATCTCAACAAGTGGAACCCGGTCAAGGTGATTCCAGTCGGAGTTGATGTGAGGTGAGTATCACAGCGAGGAATAAACACGATGTTGCAGAACGCTAACACTGTACAAGTTCTCTGTATGTGCAGGCAAATGCTGGCTAAAGAAACTGAATCAACAAATCAAGTTGACTTGGGTTCGGAATATGTCAAGGCAATGACGAATAATCTTCCTCCAGCGCCATCAGACATTATTATCAAGGAGAATGTAAACGAGGCACCAGCTGCATCAGTGAGTTATAACAACCAAGCTCATGATGTCGTAGAAGGGTTTCGAGTCAAGGTGCCGGTGAAGGAAAGACGACGCACGAAGAAAGAGTTACCCATGACAATGTTTGGCAAGATATGGACTACTTTAGACCGAATAACAACAATGAATACAAGAATGTATTTTAAGGATAATAAGGCTAAAGTAGACCATACAGTTGACTCTGATCAGTATGAACTTATGATGACACGAATCAACATATTTAGCGAGAAGATTCTGACAAGGTTTGTTCACATTTCTTTTCTGTGCGTGTCTGCTAGTGCATATAAATACTAAATTATTCTCTCTTTGCAGCTATAATTTTATTCGGCCAATATTACCGATAACAGTGGATATAGTAAATGATCTTGTCGATCTCATGCGCACTTTCAAACTAGATCGCCAGTCAGTCATGTTGACCGAAACTGAGAGTAACGTATTATGCATGGTTTTCTTGCATGCGTAAGTAACATGGTGGAACTTTTTATCGCTCAATTTGTAGTCTAATAAATTACTGATGTCTTGTTTATACATTTTACAGATTGTCAATGAATATCCCGGAACTGCATAAGAATATATTCCCTACTGATGATACCAATAATAACTTTAGGAAAACTTTAGAAAGTATGGGATTGACCATGGAGGAGCTAGAAGCATTTACCAGAGTCATCAGGGTTTCCTCGACTTAAAACAACTTTCAAGATGGAGCATTCATTTCCCACTTTATAGAGAATTTTGTATCGAATGTTTTATCCAACATCTGAACATACGACGCTCAAATATTATTATTATTCTATTCCTTTCTGCTTCTTTAATAACATCAAGCCTCATCAGGATGCCTTCAAAACATTGACTCCTTCCTGGATTTTTCCAAAAATGTGCAAACTCTATGGGCTTAATGATTGTCTGAATCCTAGTATTGACATTTATTCTGTTTTTAGTGTAGTAGGAGTAGTAGTGGTATAGCCATGTGAACACAGAAAATGATAAGTATAAAGAGACTTTGTGAAAATATATTGATGAATTAGGAGACATGTATTGCAACAACCACATTGATGCACAGTATTATCCTATTACTATGAGGCCACAAAAAACATCTATTCTATAGTTATCTTGCCTCAGCAACTTTTCCATTAAAAATTAAGTAAAAACAAATATAATTACATATTAATATTTGAAAATTTTGGTGCCATGGTGCAGCACTTTTTTGCCCTAATACTAAAGAAATTGGCTTTTTGTATATCGGAAAATTATTGATTGCTAAAACATGGTCTAATACTAATAATAATACTAAAGCTGACTTCGTTGATTATATAAATGTTGGTAACCATTTGAAATGCCTGAATCTTTTTATAATTTTAGACTTTTTTGGCCTTGTAAAGAAATTGGCTCTGGAATGAGTGCCTAAATATTAAAAAGTTAATGGTATGCCAGAATGTGAGTTATGGTTTAATTTTTACTATTACTATTACTATCCCAAGTTTTGTACCCTACTATATTACTATTACTATGTCTTTGAGATGATACTTTTTTGACCTTATTATTTTGTAAAAAAATAGGCTTTCAAATACAATCTTGCATATCAAAAAGCGTTGTTATAAACTATTACTTTTAACTTTATTTTTGCATACAAATTTGTTACCCACCACAATTATTGTTATCCGGCAAATTTATTGATATTTAATAAAATAGCGATTTACGATTAATATCAGTATTAGTCAAGAATAATTATATATTATTTCGTCAGATAATTACTATTACGCGACGTGTAAATATCTGCATAAGAGTTGTTCCATTATTCAGTTGGAGCCTCCGACCAAATCGTAGGTGCATAACTCACTCATTTCAGTTGTTTATATCTAAATAGTTACTGCGGAATATCTATTAATGGTTGATAGCTATTGCTAAAACATTAATTACCGTACGTATAGTACCTATAGAATCGAACAAAGAAGATGGAAAACGACTAATAAACTTGCGATTGAAATTATTCAATTGGTGTTCACTATGATCTCTAATGTCTTCTCTAATGACGGATATTCAATCTGGTAATCTCTAGCTTTCGGCATATGCTGAACTTGTTCGAGTTACGACGCTGAGAGCTTAACCAGCTGTGCGAGCACTTAACGGGAAATTTCAGCAACCGTTTTTAATACTACGATTTATATCTAATAATAATAATAATAACAACTACAACACCATTAAGATTTTGATTGAATGAATTATCTTTCTAGGATATCATAAAATACAGTATTTTTGCGAGAGTTATAGCCTCGAATATTTGCAGTGCATACACTTTTGATATACTAGCTGAGATTAAATTCGGGCCAAAAATTCTATAAGAGATGGTGTAAATCTTGGTATCCAAAAAAACGCGAGAATCCAAAGCTTAATTTGAAGCCAAGTAAAAAACCAGGATTTGAACCCTCAGTTTTTAAGCTTGACTTCTAAATAAATTCGTATATTGCTAGAACGGCATCTGAAAACTTTTTTTGGATACCTTTGGATTTGACTCCCGAACCCCCATTTTGGCTTTGCTCTTTCCCCAAGCAGAAGAGGCAAATTGGTTACTGATAAAAGGTAAAAACTAAAAGCTAAAGTGTCCTGGAATGGTGTAAATATTGACATTAGTTGGTTATTATTAAATATGTTATTGCGTTACTGTGTTGCAATATTCATTAATTGATGCTCCGTTGTAATCCTGTGATTACAGCAAGCATGAAAAGTATTCGGTTATCATATAATTTTCTGAATTGACACTTTGCATACAAGTTTTTCGCTATTAAAAAGATAAGAACAGAGTATTTGTTGATTGATGCTTTGTCGTAATATCGTGGCGAGTAATAAGGGAAGCGTGAGAAGCATTAATTTAGAAAGACAACGATTATAAGACCTTGTTCAATACAAAAAAAGCGTTGAAGACAATGTATAACACTGAATGGTTAATATACTCGTTAGAGGTTGCAACTCGTTTGATTATTGTTAGTTTATTTCAATGAGAGAAAACCAAGAGTCGAAGCGTGAAATGCGGACGCGCTTGATGAAAATCTTGCAAACCTTCACTGGAAAGAGAATATTAATATATAATGGGTTAAATATGATATATATTGGGCACTCTTTTTCCGTTAATGTGTGGCATTGCATACCCTGTGTCCGTTAAACCTGACCTTTGATGATATATTTATTATTCGCTTTCGTACGAATGATGCATGGCAGATGCTATTATAGAATTGAAGAGCAACGATTAGATTAAAAGTGTTATTGTAATTTTTATGGATAGATATAAAGGCCGCGGACTGAGGAGCATCGTGTCCTTGTTTTAGGGCCTTTTGATATACAGTCGCACCTGTCCATTTGCATAACGTATATTTGCATATGCTGTTCATTTGCATAAAGGAGCCCTAGTCCCTATTGGGACCTATTAGCTATTTGCATAACGCGAACGTGCATATATGCATACTACAAAAGGACAGATCAACCAGATTAATCTAAATTTCATTATTATTGTGGCGTAAAAAGTACCAACGTCGCTTTGTTCAGAGACTCGGAATACACCACTTCATGGGTCATTCTTTGATTATTTTGCTTTTTAAACAGATTTGGTAGCGTTGTTGATTGCTTGATATAGTGTTCTTTATCATAAAATGATGCAATAACGTATTGTATGAGAGGACATATAATAACCTATATTTGCATATTCTGTCTATTTGTATAAAAATCTACCGGTCCCGACAGTATGCAAATAGACAGGTGTGACCGTAATACAATTAAAAAAGTTTTGGTATGTATACAAATAGAATGATTTTTTGCTTTGACGGACAGCTAATACTAATGTCATGTGACAATGCGTGCAACAATTGATGATTTCCAACCACTATCCTGCAAATGGTGCTAGCTCATTTCAAGTAAATATAAAGTGTTGCATACTAATTACGATATGCAATTACATAATTATCTCTACACTAAATTCTGTTAATTATAATGGCATAATTTCATGTTGAATTTTGATTTGGGCGAATTTGCCTTTTTTGTCATATTTAACAAATTATAAAC